TTCATTACGTAACGTATTTTTAGTCCAATCAAAACAGACTTAATTTATTGAAACGAGCAACAATACAAAAGAAAAGTGATACCTATTTAAAGAGAAACAATACTACTTATTATAAATATTATTATTATTCCAGATGAGTAAACATGTTATTGAAACTGACATTAATTCAAAATTGTCAACAATCATTTCAAAATATTTTTATAAATATCAAAATAGACCTTTTTTAAAGAAATTGATTTTAGTCGTTGAATTAATGTCATTGATTAGCAGTCGTAGATAAAATGTTGTATATCACACGTGAGCTAGAGCATAATTCTCCACACTCGTACAGTAATTATGTTTCTAGCCCACTTGTAATATAAATAACTATTACGCCCTGTCGACAAAAAACTATCGTTTTGACGGTCGTTAAATATTATGCAAAAGTCAACTTTTAATAGCAGTTTTCGAAAAAAATGTTTTGCGATTCGCTTGATTTTTGAGATACTGTACTAACAACAACAGAACTCTCAGCAGCCTTAAATGCAACCCAAATCTATTCCATTGTTTGACTGATAATCTTATTTAGCACTTTATATTCTGCAACCACTTAGGTTCATCTCTAAAATAAACTGATTATCGCAAAATAGATTATTTAGCAACACCGTTTTGTGTTGATATGGTATTAAGCCATAACCAAGCCATATAACTTTAATATGTCCTCACTTCGCCGAGGTCGCTTGCGGGCGAGGCAGTAGAGCTCCTAAATACAAAATCTCATTGAGTTCAGATTTGTATTCTCAATGTGTTCGTTCCAGCGCCTCGCCCGCAAGCGACCTCGGCGATAGTAGATGATATCATTTATTTGATATAAAACTTGCTCTATAAAACTTTAATTTGTCCTCACTTTCAAAGACATCAAATAAATAATATCATCTACTATCGCCGATGTCGCTTGCGAGCGAGGCACCGGAACTGACATATTATAAATATAAACCTGTCTGAACTCTATGAGATTTTGCTTTTAGAAACTATAATATCAGCTTTACTGCCTCGCCCGCAAGCGACCTCGGCAAAGTGAAGACAAATTAAAGTTTTATGGCTTGGGTTGTTCTAAAATACTATCATTGAGAATACAAATCTGAACTCAATGAGATTTTGCATTCAGAAATTATGATATCAGCTCCACTACCCCGCAAGCGACCTCGGCGAAGTGAGGATAAACGATTTCTCATTCAAGCGTTTTACGTTTGGTTCACTTTCTAATACTTCAAATCAACCATATCATATAATATTACTGAGATCGCTTGCAGACAAGATGGTAGAGCTGATATCATAGCTCCTAAATACAAAATCTTATTGAGATCATGTTTCTATTCATAATATGACAATACCAGCAAGTTTTATGGCATGGTTTGCTCTAAAAGACATGAAATAAATGATATTGTAGGATTTTCTCGTTGTCTAGGGGTGGTAAATGAGGCCCGATTGTTTAGAAAACAATATTAAAGGTTTATTTAACAAAATCAATTCTGTTGTTCTTATTATTCAAAGTTCACAAATCTTTTATTAACCGTCGGTCGTTTCGTTCATCTGTCGTTTACTCAAATGAATGAAAATTGTAACGCGATTCGTCGTCAACGCCATCCGATGTCACCGTCGATAACTAATTATACACAAATTCAAATTTAAACAACCTTTAAGGTGGCTTATATTTCATTTCTTTTTTTTTGTATTCAATCTTTGATTAATTAAGTCAAATTAAGTGATGTCAAATATAAATGATATTGATAAATCAGTTAATTTTTTTAATAAGTGTAATTTATGAGTGTAATTTTGTAATTAAGTTTAAAAAAGTGTAAAAATTCCTTGCTGTGTACCATCTTGCGATGATAGACATTAAAAGGTAAATTATAAAAATTATTAATTAGATATAGACTAGATATTATTTTCCGACCGACCCTATTATTCGAATGGCTTGGCTCTTTGGAATACACAATTCAAAATTATTTGAATTAATTAATGATAAGCGTCTAAATAACTATTGTGTTTGCCCCAACGATTTCGGAACAATGTGCAAATATGTTGAGAAGAAATTGAAAAAGCTAGCTACATTATGCTTACTAGGTAAATGAAATTTTGCATAAAAAGTTTGTTTTTTAAATCATTTAGATTTGTAAGAAGAAACTATAAATAATTGCTTTTTGTCTCCACAAGATCAACCAATAGAAGATACTTCAGGTATGAAATTAATTATTTAGTTTCATAATCCATAATTATATAATTCAATATATACCATATTATATGTATATGTTTATATCCCGACATGTCATATATATATTTATACCCCCACATATGTACCCCCAACAAACTTCCTGGTGTAACTAGTTCAACTGTTATGCAAGTCTATCCTGGATGTAGTAAACAACAAGGCTGCGAAGTTGCTTCAACCTCATTTTATGAGGAAAATTTTGTTATTTCATTAGAAATGAATCCACCTAAGTGATGAATCATTCTTATTTAAAATTATCTTTATTTTTGTAGATAAGAAACGGAGGAAATTACCTTTTACAAAGAACTGCAACAATTGCAACCTAACTGGAGTAAAAAAAGCGTTGTGTCGCGCTAAGAAAAATGCCAGAATAATAAGGCTAATACAATTGAGGAAAAATCCTCAGGTATTGGTGAACCTCAAATATTTGAATAAAGAAACTAGAAATTTCTTTAGCAGGCAGGCTCTTTCCATTTACAAACAAAGTGGTAAAATTCTTATCAAATTTCTTTTCATTACCATCCAGGAAGACGCTACAAAAACTGTTAGGGTAAACAAAATGTAACATTATTCTATTTATTGAACTAAAACTAGAACTAATAGTAGCACTATCACTAGCTAGAAACTTTCGAAGTGATTTCGAGTCGTACCAAATATTTATGTTGAAATTAGATCTTTCATTTAAAATATATTTATTTCCTTTTTTCAAAGCAATATTAATTGTGTTATTTTTAAATTTGGCGGTTAAAGTTAGCCCCAACAATCTGGCAACGTCGTTGGTTAAACAATGTTGCCAGATCGTTGGTTAGCCCAGTTTTACACCATTATCCTAGTCGAAGTTGGTTTTAATCTATGATTAGTACTCTGCGGTGACATCGGATGGCGTTGTACGCAAGGTGCAATTTAATAAGGTAGAGTTGGCGATCTCTCTCCCTTGTCACACTTTTACTGTTAATAAACACAACCTTACTTCTCCGCGCCCTCTATTATAAAAACTACCAACTACTAATAATAAATAAAAACTACAATTCCTACAGTATCATCTACTATCGCCGAGGTAGCTTGCGAGGCACCGGAACTGACATATTATGAATATAAACCTTACTGAATTCAATGAGATTTTGCATTTAGGAGCTATGATATCAGCTCTACTGTCTCGCCCGCAAGCGACCTCGGCGAGGTGAGGACAAAATTAAAGTTTTATGGCTTGGGTTGCTCTAAAAAACATCAAATAAGTGATATCTTCTACTATCGCTGATGTAGCTTGCGCGCGAGGCACCGGAACTGACATATTATGAATATAAACCTTACTGAATTCAATGAGATTTTGCATTTAGGAACTATGATATCAGCTCTACTGCCTCGCCCGCAAGCGACCTCGGCGAGGTGAGGACAAAATTAAAGTTTTATGGCTTAGGTTGCTCTAAAAAACATCAAATAAGTGATATCATCTACATATATAGAACTAACACATTGAAAATACAAATCTGTACTCAATGAGACTTTGCATTTAGGAGCTATATCAGCTCTACTGCCTCGCCCGCAAGCGACCTCGGCGAGGTGAGGACAAAATTAAAGTTTTATGGCTTGGCTTGCTCTAAAAAACATCAAATAAGTGATATCTTCTACTATCGCCGAGGTAGCTTGCGCGCGAGGCACCGGAACTGACATATTATGAATATAAACCTTACTGAATTCAATGAGATTTTGCATTTAGGAGCTATGATATCAGCTCTACTGCCTCGCCTGCAAGCGACCTCGGCGAGGTGAGGACAAAATTAAAGTTTTATGGCTTGGGTTGCTCTAAAAAACATCAAATAAGTGATATCTTCTACTATCGCCGAGGTGGCTTGCGCGCGAGGCACCGGAACTGACATATTATGAATATAAACCTGACTAAATTCAATCACATTTTGCATTTAGGAGCTATGATATCAGCTCTACTGTCTCGCCCGCAAGCGACCTCGGCGAGGTGAGGACAAAATTAAAGTTTTATGGCTTGGGTTGCTCTAAAAAACATCAAATAAGTGATATCTTCTACTATCGCTGATGTAGCTTGCGCGCGAGGCACCGGAACTGACATATTATGAATATAAACCTTACTGAATTCAATGAGATTTTGCATTTAGGAACTATGATATCAGCTCTACTGCCTCGCCCGCAAGCGACCTCGGCGAGGTGAGGACAAAATTAAAGTTTTATGGGTTGGGTTGCTCTAAAAGACATCAAATAAGTGATATCTTCTACTATCGCCGAGGTAGCTTGCGCGCGAGGCACCGGAACTGACATATTATGAATATAAACCTGACTGAATTCAATCAGATTTTGCATTTAGGAGCTATGATATCAGCTCTACTGCCTCGCCCGCAAGCGACCTCGGTGAGGTGAGGACAAATTAAAGTTTTATGGCTTAGGTTGCTCTAAAAAACATCAAATAAGTGATATCATCTACATATATAGAACTAACACATTGAGAATACAAATCTGAACTCAATGAGACTTTGCATTTAGGAGCTATATCAGCTCTACTGCCTCGCCCGCAAGCGACCTCGGCGAAATGAGGCTAAACGATTTCTCATTGCTAAACTGATTTATAGCTTCTAAATGCTAAATCTCAATGAGTTCAAGTTAGTACTCATAATAATGTGGCAATTCCAGCGCCTCGCCCGCAAGCGACCTCGGCGAAGTAATAAATAAACGATTCTTAATTCATGTTATTCACTTTCAATTTTAACTTTCAATTACTTACAGAAATTGTGGAGGATTTCCTTGATGAAAAGGATAAACAACAATCCCGGAAGGTTTATTTTGTTGAGATAAAGGTTTATTTCGTTTTCTTTTCCACGTAAAAAACACCGCAAGAATTATTATTACAAATAATAACCCAACGCAAGCCAAAATTATCGGTAAAAAAACATCTAAAAAAATAATATTAACAAATTTGCTTAACAATAAATTATTAAATAAATTACCTTGATATTTCGGTTTAGTTTGTTCGCTTCGAATAAAACCATCAGGATAATTTTTCGTGCTAACCACCATTTTTTCAATTTCCTTTCCATCAAAAAAATTAAACAAATTCGTTTTGTTCAATTTCCTTTTCAACGAATCCCTCGTAAATCCATCCGAAAGCATCTTTATTAGATGAATTGATCGGGTTCAACTTCAATTTATCCAAGTTCGGTTCATCACGTTGAACTAAGCCCATCTAGTTTACATCTTGATACGTTGAAATTAGAACCCTGTAACAAATTAATTAGATTCAACGTGAGCTATTATCAACCAGATACAATTTTCTATACTTGATTAATAACAAATAACAAACAAGTTCCACTCGAATATTTAGGTTGAACATCGTTAAGAGACATATTTAATTATAGGTCATAATCGATAATCGTCATCTTTGGCGTTTCAAGGTTAAATTCGTTATGAATATTCAGTTTCAAGTTACAACAACCCTCTTGAAACGAGGAATTAAGTGTTAAAAATGTCCATGAGGAAAAATTTCATTAATAAGATAAATCGAAAATGTTTTCTTATAGAAAATCATGTTGAAATGGGATCTCTGCTCCCGTTTTATGAAGATAATAACATTAACTAGACTTGAATTAGAAAGTAGGATTTTTTAACGTGTACCACGTCGTCGTCGGTGTCCATAACTAATCGAGTAGAGAATAATCTAAAGAAAAGCAACCGCACTTTCTGCATTTAAAGATTTAGATTGTCACAACAGGAAATTGAAGTTAATCTGTGTGGAGGAGAATTGTTGAATTACGCAAAATTGTCTCTGACTATAAATAATGATTTCTTATTAGAATATATTAAATTACGTGCTCTAATTGTTACATAACCTCGTTGCGAGATCTAATTAACTTTAAAAGCTATTGTTTTAGAATTGGAAATTTTCGGCTTTTCAAAGTTGATTGCGAAATTCAATTTGAATATATTTTACGAGATTTATTATTATTAATAGGAAAAGTTTAATTTTAAAATGTGATTACTAAATAAAAATTTGTTGTAAAAATATTTTAAATTGGCGAAAAAAGTTTGACATTGTTTATTGATTTCGGATGAAGTCTGAATATCATAAATGTTGACAAATATCCAATATTTGAACAATACAATTAGTACTGAACAACACCAAACTACAGTGGTAAAAGTTCAAACTGCTAATGGCAACCTAACTCTAATATTAATCATAAATTCATTAAAGACAAAATTGCAGAAAAACGGAAAGCAAGAAAGAAATGGCAAACCAATAGAATTCCTAGTGATAAAACTAAATTAAATAAAATATCCTCTACACATTCGACCTTCCTCAGGTATTTACCAGAAACTTTAACTACATTCGCAGATGACACAGCGATCTTGGCCGGTGCAGAAAATGAAATAGTTGCAGCAAATAAGTTACAACTGGCCTTAAATCCAATAGAAAACTGGACCAAACTATTTTCGAAGAGTCAAAGAAATCAAAGAAATTGTTCATAAGTGAATCTTATCTCTTCCACATTAATTTATATGTATATTCTCCGTTTCTACACAGCATATATAACTTTATTCCGAAGAAACAAAACACAGCCAAAGCAAGAAATTATAAAAAAATAATCTCATAAACTTTTCTGGCTCGTTAATGAGAGTCCACTTTTAATATTGGTATAAAAGCATAAATGCAAAATATTCTCCTTCTTCTTCTCTGCGAAAGCTAATATCTTGTTTCACCCATCTTACTCCTCCTCCTCTCCTTCTCATTCCTGAGATATTGAACTCCAACTATCCTTCCATCGCCTGAGCGGCGGTTCCTAGAGGTCGTTTGGACTCTGGGTTTCCATTTTTTACCAATCTATCATTCCCCATCTGTAACACATGTTCATTCCAAAATCTTTTCCACGTCCGGATCCATCTTACTACATGTTCCACTTGGTATTCTTCTCTGACTATAACTTGGCTAGATGCTGCCATCTACTATGCTGATTATTTTAGCCAATTTAGAAATTTGATACTTAAATTTGGCCGCTTGGTCACTCGTTACGTTTTACTATTATACAGGGTGTTTCTGTAAGTCGTGGCATAACGTTAATCACTAAAACTAGAGACAAAATGATGACGATTCGTGTAAAAATTTTATTTTATTTTTATTTTATTTTATTTTTCGATATTCTATAAGTTGTGTGTTTGCAAAACGCAGCATCTCATATTTTAGTATTTCTAGAAGTGGCAGGAACGATATAGAGTGTATGTGCTTATCTACATATAATTAAATAGAAATTAAAATTACACTGCTTATTGAATGCAGTACCACTCAGAATTTGGTACCAAGTTAAATAAGAACACCGGAAGCTGAAAAGTCTAACACTACAATTCTCAAATAATGTCCATATGGACGATGCCCAACTTTTACAAATTGTGCAAGAAATTGTATCACTAAATAGATATATGTACACATTTTTTTTGGATTGGTTGAGTAATGATTCCGATTTTGCAAAATCCAATTAACAACTTGAGAAAGCAAGAAATTCATCAAATCTTCATATTTTTGTATTTATCTCGACATCTATATATCTGTATGCAAAAGTGCAAGACAGCAATATTGTTAAGAATAAAATTTGCTACATCTTTCGTTCTAAAAGTTTTTTTATAATATGCTTTGTTTCCCGAGTGTTACCATTAACTATCTGAAAAAGCAACAAATTCATCAAATTTTTATATTTTTGCATTTTTCTCGATATTGACGCATCTAAGCGCAAAAGTGCAAGAGAGCAATATTGTTAACAATAAAATTTGCTACAACTATTGTTCCAAAAGTTTTTTTGTAACATTCTCCATTTCCAGAGTCTTACCATTAACTACTTGAAAAAGCAACAAATTCATCAAATTTTTGCATTTTTCTCGATATTGACGCATCTAAGAGCAAAAGTGCAAGAGAGCAATATAGTTAACAATAAAATTTGGTACAACTATTGTTCCAAAAGTTTTTTTGTACTATGCTCAGATTCCAAATTTTTATCATTAATAACTTGAAAAAGCAACAAATTTATCAAATTGTCATAGTGAGTGCAATAAAAAAAATTAAAGCAAATAGTATTCCAAGATTTATTGGTCAAACAATAAAAGAAGAATTAGTTCAGACTCGCTCAAGGAACCCCTTCTACATTCTATTTATCGCTCATCATATGTTTTGAGAAAGTATATGATCCAGATTCCGGATTAGACAACACGCCTTACACGTTTAAATACAACCAAGTGGTACCAATACATTTCTAGATGTTCTAATGTAAAGAATGGATTTAATGGAGAGCTATTCAAAATACATAAAATTCTCAAAATCAATTTAAAAAATTAGTATGCGAACATCTGTTTAGAGACTTTCGACGTGTTTCTAGAAATTTCTAGATGTTTCGATGACATTTTAATGGTTAATTATGTTTTTTTTAGAAATCTTAATAATCCAAAAATTTATTTTACAAACATCAATTTCTATTAAATAATTGAAACATGTTGAAGTGGAATTCTGATTTAATTTCCAATTAGACGTTGGTATTGCGAGGAGACCAGTTCTAATTACTTCGAGGTCTATCTCATGAAGTATTTACATAATCCTGAATGATTCAAGATAACACGTGGATTATCATTGTACACACTTCCTTAACAATTTGAGCCACTTCATTAAAGAGCTTTATAAAGAGGTGTTTAAAGCAAATCGCAGAAAACAAAAAAGAATTAAACCTTTTCGCTTTTCATTAACTTTCTAGAATCTTAGGTAACAACCAGAGTGGAACAAAAAAATAAGAAAAAGAACCTAACGCACTCTCAATTAGCACCCAAATCTGTAACCAGACGAATTAATTGTCACGCAAACTTAAATTACCGATTTCCTGAGACCGATACGATTCTCCACGTTCGTTTATAATATTCTCCTTTATACTTTCACTTCAAAAAGACCTCCTTCTACTACGTTATGTTCTTAATCCCACCACCAGGTTTAAACAACACTTTAAAATCCTTCAGCTCTCCTCTCATCCGGAGTTTAACAACAGTGGTGAACGGCGAATATCTAACAAGTCAGATTAAAGTTAAAGAAAATACAAGAAGAGATAATGTGATTAAAAATGTTTTTCTTAAAAGTAATCGTCTTCTATACGAGTGTTTGTGTTTATAATGGAAATGGTGTTAAAGTCCCAATTCGGCCAAACGAAGAAAGTCTTCGAGTGCTCGTTCAAGACCCCACGATTGGTGTCCAAGAAATTAATTTATTTCGAGATTTAAACCCATCACTAATTGTTAAAAAGCAAGATGAGTTAGTTGAAGATGCGATTAAGAAAGTTGAAGAAAAATCTGGCGTCAACGATGTGGAGAAAGAAAAAATTATGAATGCTTATTTAGAAAGGTTAAGGCAAGTTGGTGAAGATGGTTATAGCGGGATTAGAAATAGAAATTTGGAGTTTTATGAACAAAGAAAAGATGGACCAAAGAAAGTTAATGATGAAAATAAAGATCTAGAAGAAGATAATGATGATGAAGAAGATAATGGAAAAGAGGAATCACAAAAAATCTCAAAGAGTCAAAAAACGTTTGATAAATTTATCTCGATACCTTTCGAAACGAAAAGCGACCAAAACAACGAGAAAAATAATAATCAATTAGGAAATAGCGTTCAAACACTTTCTAAGAGAAAATATCATAAAGATAAAGTAATAAACGAACCTGAAATTGATGAAGATAATTATAAAGAACCAATAAGTTATCACGAAGATCCCGGTCCAATTCCAACTAAAGTAAATTATCCAGGTCAAGGTCAATGGGCAAGAAAAGGTCGTAAACACAAACCCCACGTAACCGTGCACAAACACCTTTACCCGGAAACAGATCACGAAAACATCAATAAAAACGGAGAATTTGAAATTTACGATCACAACAAAAACATTTACGACGAAGAACGAGAAGGTTATTTTAACAACTTAAAAAAATACTCCGAAGGATACAACACTGACGAAACCAACCACGAAGAAGAACCCCAAGATTTCATTCCATACCGAACTTACTCGCAAGTACGAAGAAGCGACGTCGAAAGAAGAATACCGAAAAAAGGGCGATCCTCATCAAAGCGAAATTCGAAAAAATCTAAAAAAAAGAAAGATAAACGATTAAAAGAGATTCAAAAAAATAGTAAAGCTCACACTGTTTATACCGAAGAAGGATACGAAGATAGCGCTTACGATCACGGTGGTAGTGAGAAAAAAGGTGATAAAGTCGAAAAAGATAAAAGAATTCACGAAGAAAATCAAAAAATTAAAAGCGATGAAATTCGACCGGAAGATGAAAGTGAGAATGAAGAGATTTTGAGACACGATCGTTATGAACCGGAAAAAGAAGAAAGTGAAGTTAACGAGAGAAGAATAAGAACGGCGAGAAGGTAAGAAAATTATTAAGTAGATTTATGTAGAGAAATGATTATATTGTTGAAATAAATAAATTGTTGAATTTATTTTTGTTTTTTATTTACCTAGATTAAAATTTAATTTATATTTTTTTTATAATTCAAATATAATAATTTCTCTGCATTACAAGAGATTAAGCGGATTTAAAAATTATAATAAGATTTTCATAAAGCTTTAAATGAAAAAGTTTCTTTATTAAAATTTAAATTTCAAGCCGTTCAATTTCCTACTTTTATCTTTTGTTACCTTTTCGTACTCTATTTCCTGTGATTGTAAAAATAAAATTGAAGCTTTTAACTTAAAAACAATATTTTTCATACGTTGAGATTAATCCAGCAATGATGTCTGTTATAGTAGGAGATTAAATCATTTAAAACATATTAATCTTTATCTCCTCGATATTGAGATCGACCATTCATATCAATCACTCTATTCACTGATAAAGTTATATCAAAATAATGATGATAAAGTATCAACGTGAGATTTGTGAACCACCTATATATAACTCAACAAATCCACAATTGGACAATTATTCATCATCAATTTCCCCGGATTTGGACGATTTTGCTCCCTGAGGATCTCATTTTGTTTCCCGGATTTTTCTACGGTTAATTTAGTAACGATGGGTCACTTTTACGTCAATCTTCCGCAATCACAACTTTAATTCCTTTTAGAACTTTCTTTCGGGAATTCTAAGAGATAAAACGGTCGATTTTCCATCCAAAACTTTTTCTGAACGCTTCCTGTTTCTGACTTTCTCGTTTTTTCAATTGCCTTTGAGCAGTATTCGCCAGAATTTAAATGGATTTTAAAGTAAACATGACTTCTCCATGCATTTTTAATGATTTTCGAAGTAATACAAATTAAAACTTTATTTCTTTGTGTAACTTTTCGTAACAAACTTTATTTTTTTATCTTCGTTTTATCGTTTGTATAAACTTCAGAAATAAGACATAAAATCGTGAAATTTCAAGGTCAATGGATGATTTCTTACTATTTGTAGAATATTAGATACTCCTAATAGATATCATCTAATAAATATTGCTGGTAGAAGAGTAGATACTTCTTGCAGAAGATTTTTTACTATTTGCAGAAGACTACATACTATTAATAGATATTGGCTAATAGATACTGCTAGTACACGACTAGATATTGCTAGTATAAACTGTGCAGAAGACTATTTCTTGTTTATGGCAAATTAAATACTGTTAATGGAAGATTTCTTACCATTTGCAAAAGATTAGACACTGTTAATAAATATTGACTAGGAGATGGTGTTAGTAGATGACTAGATATTACTGCTAGAATACTAGATATTTCGTGCAGAAGACAATTTTTTGCTTTAGGAGAACTAGATACTATTAATGAAAGATTTTTTACCATTTGCACAAGACAAGACACTGTTAATAGACATTGACTAAGAGATAGTACTAGTAGACGACTAGATATTGCTGCTAGAACACTAGATGTTTCGTACAGAAGACAATTTTTTGCTTTATGAGGACTAGATACTGTTAATGGAAGATTTGTTACTATTTCCAGGAGACTACATACTGTTAATAGATATTGGCTAATAGATACTGCTAGTAGACGACCAGATATAGCTGGTAGAACGCTAGATTCTTCGTGCAGAAGTCTATTTCTTGCTTCTGTGAGACTACTACGCTTTATTCCTTATAATATTGAAAGCTGAACTTCTTGTACATGTATTTTCATCGACCAGTGCAAAGAGGAGTTATCTACACAGTATCGTGTCACCGCTATGAGATAATAGACAGATTGAGGTTCGCTCCTAGGTCATCTATTTAACTTGCATGATTAATGAAGACGTTTTGGTTCAATCTCAACCTAAAATATTTCTTTTTTAAATTACGTTGATTAAAATAATATGTCAATTATAATAGTGAAATTTCAAGATAACATGCTGTTAATGGATGATTTCTTACTATTTGTAGAAGATTAGATACTCCTAATAGATATCGTTTAATAAATATTGTTGATAGAAGAATAGATACTTCTTGCAGATGACTAGTTGTTGCTTTAGAGGGACTAGATACTGTTAATGGAAGTTTTTTTTCTTTCAGCAGAAGACTACATACTATTAATAGATATTGGCTAATAGGTGCTGCTATTATACGAGTAGATATTACTGATAGAACACTAGATTCTTCATGCAGATGACTATTTCTTGCTTTAGGGGGACTAGATACTGTCAATGGAAGGTTTCTTATTATTTGCAAAAGACTACATATTATTAATAGATATTGGGTAATAGATATCGCTAGCAAACGACTCGATGTTGCTGATAGAAGACCAGATACTTCATGCAGAAGACTATTTGTTGCTTCTGGTGAACTAAATACTGTTAATGAAAGATTTCTTAACATTTGCAAAACACTAGACACTGTTAATAGATATTGACTAAGAGATAGACGACTAGATATTGCTGCTGGAACACTAGACTATTCCTGCAGAAGACAATTTGTTGCTTTAGAGGGACTAGATACTGTTAATGGAAGATTTTTTACCATTTGCAGAAGACTACATGCTATTAATAGATATTGGCTAATAGATGCTAGTAGACGACTAGATTATTCGTGCAGAAGACTATTTCTTGCTGTACACGCTTTATTCCTTATAATATTGAAAGCTGAATTTCCTGTACATCTATTTAACTTGCATGATTATCCTTATACTACGATAGATACAAATCTGTGAACGACCTCTACGAGACCTCTCTTCTTACTACCTCATCGATATACAAAAACCTCTTTAGTCTTTGGAAGCTGATAGCTCATCCATTCTTTTCTTTAATTACAAGTTTTTTCGAGATGCTCGTCCGTTTTGACGTATTAGGTTAAAAATCACATTTCTTGAAGAACATCATGTGCTGACATAGTTGTTCATGTTTCTAATATCTAATGTTATTCTTCACCTCGGCGTTCCAACGTGATAATATTCATTAGCTGTCTATGAATTTGACCAGTTACCATTTTTTGGACTTAAACTGATGTTAGGTTACGCGGCTTTTACCCGCAATTAGTTCTTTGCAATACATATCAAAGCAATTATGTATGCCTAAAATACTTTTCTCCTCATTGAGCGTAAGTACGACTGGGAGATTCTACCTTCACTCACTCGGTATGTTTTTCGGCATGTCTTAATGGATTTCAGCCATAAAAGCACCATGTGTCCAAAACGATTGATTTGAATTTTCAAGAAGAAATTGTCTTGCTAACTATTTTCAATTGAAATGAAAAAACACCTTCTGCGAGGCACTCATCAACTTTGAAAGCGCAACTTTATCCCCTTGAACCGATAACATATTTATGTATACAAAAAAGTTCAACTTGTAACTGCTAACAGTCGGTTCTTATACAGATAACATTTTAAAATGACATCACAGCCAGTGTTCGAAGATATTTTCCATATTGTCTATATATAATTGAACTGGCCAAATCCGCAATTGACTGGCAGAGACTGGCATGAGAACTGGCAGCAGCACGTATTCGATTTCCGGAAAGCACCTTATCTACATGTCATCGCATATATCAGATATGTAGGAAACTAAAAAACTTTCTCTACAACTTTTTTCTCCTATTGGTCATTATTTGTCATAACGAATAAATCCGTAAGATTATGCGTGTAGGTTGAGAATCACCCTGTATAATTTTTCATTTCCCAACTTTTTACCAGGTACACGTTTTTCACGTCCAGAAAAAACTTTTTGTCATCAACACAGCAAGAATACAAACTCGAATGAAGGTTGGTCTCGTTTTTTGTAGGTTTGGACCAATATTATCCCTGTAGAAATAGTGCTTCGACTTCATGAAAGCCTATATAGTGGGGAAATTTAGAGTATTATCAAAAAACCTACATAAAGTTCTTGAACACATCTGTTATCTTAAGAACATTGAGATGTAGTTAGAAATTTCTAGGACTCAATCAATACAGCTTTAGAACCCCAGAAACGTCTAATGAACGCTGAGACACCCTGTATACAGCAGACAAGGTCGCTATAAGCCGAAACTGTGCATTTGAAACTTTATACAGTTGTACAGTTTCCTGTAAGTTACGAGGCGGTAGGTAAAATCTAAAAAGTTAACAATTAAATACGAAGATAACTTCTGGTATTTAAAAACAAATAATTTTTTAATATGTAACATTCTAACATGTCAAAGTTTTCAAAATTTTCGTAATTTATCTTAAAAACAGGATTTTTAAAGTGACACTTCAGAAAATTTTTGAATACAAACAAATGTTGCTATGTTTATTTGAATTTTAAAAAAACATGAGCGCCATCTATCGATAATTTATTAAGTCATTTAAAAATAATATTAAATCGTAATAAAAAATGTGAAATAATGCAATATATTCCAACTTTTGTGTAAAACATATATAAATTAAACAGTTTAACAAATATATTTGTTTCAAATATAAGAAATATGTTAAATTATAGAACCGTAATTTACAGGAAACTGTAAATTTGATTTCTTCGACGACACTAAAAGAAAAGTTTATTTTTAGTTTTATTCTAAAACAATAAGAAATAGACCTGTCAAACCCTATATTTTTGTAATCAGAAAAAAATAACGAATTTATTAAGTGGTTGTTTCCATTTAAAAAAACGAAAATTGTGATAATATCTCAAAATCTAAAACCGACAAAAATTTTTTGATTACGTCATCAAATTCTCTGTAAAAAAGTGTCCATATAATATCTTAGTTATAATACTCCACCTATAATAATAACCAAGATAATTACATTTGCGGGTTTTACGATATTTTCAATTTTGGCCTGTAGGGGAAAAACAAAAGACGATAGCGCTATGAGGTTTCCGGCATTAGCAGTTTCTCGAAAAACGAGATCAAGACATGTCAGCTACTTTTCTTCTAACTCTTATAGTTTTCGAGTTAGCCTATTCGGACATCGAATTTGAACCACCCTGTACATATCATTATTGTGTATTGAGGCAACACAGTTTTATCATGGCACAAAATTGTATCTTGTTGGGCAATTATGATGCAAATACATATTACTGTAGCAATGATTATTTGTTCTGAGTTGATTTATGGAATGCCATTATTTTTGCTTCTAAATCGGTTCTATTTGTAATGAGAAGAACCGCAATAGCACAAAACCGATTGCACAATCATCAATTTGTTGACCTTTTCATTCAATTAAGTCTTAGATAAAAATAAAACAGAAATTAACAGGGTAAGAACAAACTTGGACCATTTTTCATAACTCACAAAACGTTTTAGCAAATTACATCTTCACCATAGAATTTATTCATGACCACTTTTATTGTCGCAATGCGTTGTTTCACATCAAGAAGCACTCGCTGTAAACTAATTCCCAACGATAACGTAACATTGTGGGAACTAGTCGCTATTTTCATTTCAAACTTTATATACTATAATTTAATATAAAAGCAAATTCAAACCGTTCATTTCCTGTATCTAATCCATTTTAACATTTTTCCACTTCACTTCCTAATCCATTTTTTCTTTCATTCCTACTTTTTATTAACATAATCGAATACGCCGCTTAAACACTTTCGCTCGGTGATAAGAAAACGTTCTTATTCGTTTTTTAACTTGTTTTACCGGCAACAACCTTCAACTTCCATTCGAAAAAGTGAAAGGCGACCAACTTTTCGCGAACAGGAAACGCGAACTAATACAATTGGAGTAGGTTATTTACTGATTTTTTTTTATTTGTGTCATATTGTTGCAGAAAAATCAATAAGAAAGAAAATGAAAATAAAGAAAAAGATGCAATTGTAACTAGAGAAGGTGAACCATCAAAATATTTTAGTTATGAGAATGAAGATTGGTTTCAACAATATAGATTTGATAATATTAATGATTATTTTACTTTACCTCCGGATGAAATTACAACAACCACTTCTAAGACGGTTAAAAAAGAAAATGTTTTGGAAAAGGCACCTTTAAATGTAAAAAAGGCATTAAAAGAAAATGTTGAGGTAAAAATGGTTGATCCAGTTCGAATTGTGCAAGAAAAATCTTTAGAATTGCCATTAACAACTCATAAACCTAAAATAATCGAAATTATAAAAGAAGAACCTAAAAAAATTAAACCATTAAATCGAAAAATTGGTGAAGAACGTCTAAGAAAAATTCAAGAAAAACGAAAAAACATTTTAAACCCAACTTTACCACCTTCTAACATAAAGAAAAGAAAAGCTGTGATTGAATCCGGTGATAATATCGAAGAGATTCCTCAAACGAATCAATATGTGAACGAAGATCAACTCAAAAAAACATTGGAGAAGTATTACATGGATTCTTTTCAGTTAAAAGGAGTTAATTTCCCAGCCCAAGCTCCCCAACAACCAGTTCTCGTCCAATATTATCAACAAATTCCGGTTGTTCCAACAACAATCCGTTATGAACGATACGAACCGGAAGAAATCCCAAGAAGATATCTTGAGGTTGAAAAGATTCCGAAAAAAATTGAACTTGAAGAAATTAAGGTTAAACCTGTTTTGAAAAATGTTGAAAAGAATTTTGTTTCAAAAGTTGATGAAAATGGAACAAAAAATGAAGAAAATGTAAGAAAATTTGAAGAAAAAGATGAGGTAAAAGAAGATAAGGAGGTAAATGAGAAAAGAAATGAAAGAAAGAATGAAGAAAATTATGAAAGGAAAGATGAAGAAAGAGATGGAGAAAAAGATGTTGAAGAAAGAAATCTTGAACGAGAAGACTATAAAAGAGTAAATGATGATGCTGAAAGAAGAAATAATCGTCGTAGATTAAAACAAAATCAATTTTTTTATCCCTTATTAATTTCAAGAAAAGATTTGAGAAATTTTAAACGAAAACCACAATCAGTTCAAAATTATTACGAATTGCATAGTCCAAAAATAATGAAAAATGATAAGGAGAAAGTTGATGAAGGGAAGAAAATTGTTAATGATGAAGAAAATAAATCTAATGAAGAAGGGTACGAAGAATTCGTTCCAATTTTGTTAGAAAATATCCAATTATTTTATCCCGAACCTCATAATTATGAAAAGAATGGAAATGAGAAACCAAGAAATGTTGAAAAACAAGGTAAGATTGAGGTTGAAGATATAAAAGATCAAGAAATTAAAATAAATAAACCAGAAGTACAACTAGATCAAAAGTTTCTTAATAATGTTAAGCCACAAACTTTTTTTCCAATCGAAATCGAAGAATCTAACCAAAATCTTCCAATAAAAGAAGATGTAACTGAAAAAAGTTTAAAACAAGACGTCAAAGAGATTAAGTATCCTTTTATAATTGAAGATCTTTATCCGAAATCAAGGATTAATTCTGAAAGAGAAATAATTCCAAAAATAAATAATGAGCAGAAAGATATTTCTTCAAAAAACTTTCGAGTTGTAAATGAAGAAGAATCAAAACAAGGAGTGAAAAGGATTGAAGAACTTTATCCTAAAGCAAGAATAGATTCTGAAAGAGAAATAATTCCAAAAATAAATAATGAGCAAAAAGATATTTCTCAAAAAAGCTTTCAAGTTGTAAATGAAGAAAATTTAAAACAAGGAGTGAAAAGGATTGAAGAACTTTATCCAAAAGCAAAAATAGATTCTGAAACAAAAATAATTCCAAAAATAAATAATGAGCAAAAAGATATTTCTCAAAAAAGCTTTCAAGTTGTAAATGAAGAAAATTCAAAACAAGGAGTGAAAGAGGTTAAGTATCCTTTTATAATTGAAGAACTTTATCCAAAAAAAGCAAGAATTAATTCTGAAAGAGAAATAATTCCAAAAATAAATAATGAGCAAAAAGATATTTCTCAAAAAAGCTTTCAAGTTGTAAATGAAGAAAATTTAAAACAAGGAGTCAAAAAGAATCAGTATCCTTTTATAATTGAAGAAGTTTATCCAAATTCTGCAACAGAAATAATTCCAAAAAAAAATAATGAGCAAAAAGATATTTCTCCAAAAAACTTTCAAGTTGTAAATGAAGAAAGTTTAAAACAAGAAGTCAAAGGGATTGTTGAAGAACTTTATCCAAAAGTAAGAATAAATTCTGAAACAGAAATGATACCAAAAATAAATAATGAGCAAAAAGATACTTCTCCAAAAAACTTTCAATCAGAAAGAGGAAGAAGAAAGTTTAAAGCTCCAAATAAAACTCAAAATGTAACTCCAAGTGAAACACGAAGTGTAATTAAAGAAAACGATGATAAAGAAGATAATTATCCTAAGTTATATTTAGAAGATAGAGAAAAATGGAAGAAAACTTTTGAAAAAGAAAGAAAAAATGAAAATTTGAATCCAAATCCAATTGAATTTAGAGTGGTCTATCCAGCGAAAGAAGAAGTTGAAGATATAAATCAATATAAAAGTAGGATTGAAGAATTACCTCGTCCACGTCCATTTCAAAAACCTTTGGAAGAAAGAAATAATGATGATAAGGAAGAAGAAAGAAAAAATAAAGAAAATGAAAATGAAGACGATTTAAGAAAAGTGAATGATAAATTTGAAGAAAGAAATGATAAAGAGATAAGAGATGATGAATCTGAAGAAAGTGATTCAATAGAAGATGATTCTCGTGAAATTTCTGATGAAGAAACATCTGAAGAGGATTCCTCAGAAAGAAGACAACCTAGAAGTAGAAAACGAGAGTCCAGAGAAGTTTCTTCTGAAGAATTGCAAAAACCAGAAAAACCAAATTTAAGAAAAAAATTTAATAAAAAGATTTCACCGAGAATTCCACAAGCTCAACATTTAATAAGAAGAGAATCACCAGACGATGAAGAAGATATAATCGAAAACGTGATGGGAGAAGAAATGTTTGGAAGAAAATTAATCCGTAAAAAACGTTCCGTTGAAAAATACCCAAATTATAACTCAAAAAATTTCGATAAATCATCCGGATTTCGTTACGCAGAAAATCCAGAAACGATTCTAACAAAAACGACAAATCAAATGGTTCTTTACGATCGAGTTGAAGAAACTGATTGTCCTGAAACTGAAGATATCAATCCAATTAATAAAACTGAGTATGATCCTAAAACGAGAATAAAAGGGAAATTATCGAATCAAATTGATTGTTTAAAGAAGAAATATTTCGGGGAAAACCCGTTAGATAACCCTATATTTAGTGAAGAATACGATGGAACGATTTCTTCTTCGTCAAGGTTGGGAAAATCGGAGAGTTTGCCAAAAGCTGAACCTTACGTGATGAGGCGAAGAATTATTAAAAGAAGACCTACTTTTAATCCGGTTAATCCGGTTAATTCGGTTAATTCGGTTAATCCGGTTATAAGAGGGATCATGGAAAGAAGATATCCGCAAAGATATAATCAGAAACCTCAAATTAAAGAAAAAGAAGCTGATGAATATTTTAGCGAAGTTCATTATAAACAAGAAATTAAACCAAGTGAACAATTAAATGTTTTTGCTGATATAATTAATAATATAAAAAATTCGAATGAGGATAAAAAAGATGTTGCAATGAGTGAGTCGAATAATGAAGAGGTTTATGTTAGGAGGAAACCAATTCGGAATATGAATCGTTATTCAAAAATAAGAACAACAATGAGACCATTTTTACCAACTCCGGTACCAACGGAAAGAAAAAAGAAATTACCAATGAGGATTTTAGAAGAACATAAAGATGCTGATGAAATTATTATTGTTAAAAAACCACCCCCTATATACAGGAATCCCCCTTCAAAAAGAAAACAAGAAAAGCCTAAAGAAATCGAAGAAGATGAAGAAACCTCATCTTCTGATCAAATGGAAAAATTTATATATAACGGATTAAGACCACCACCTAAAGAACCTTATAGACACCCAAATTTTTATAATCGAGAACAAAGTAAAATGTCGAATAAACGAAGAAGAATCAAAAGAAATCGGGGAAGCACTTTATACTCGGAAATAAGAAGGAATAAAAACGAAACTGCTGAAGAAATCGATGATTATGTTCCGCATCGTAATCGAAATTTCCATTATGACGAGAAAACTGGGAAAATTGTTTATGATAAACCCGAAAAAAAAGAGGAAGAAGAAGTGGAGTATGATTATGTTGAGGAAGCAACACATCCACCTGCGAAGAAGAAGGAGGTTAAAAGATTTCCACCAACGCCACCACCAGGTCCGAATTATTTAGATTATATTAAAATATTAAAGAGTAATCCGAATTATACGATTATTGAGGATCCTAAAAAAGAGGAGGAAGATATCACAAAGAATGCTGTTACTTCGAGTGAGTCAAATAATACAAGTACTGGGCTTCCTGAGTATCTCTCAATATTGAAAAAACTTAAAGAAGATAAATCTTATAAGGTGTATTTGGATCCAAAAAATAATGAAAAAAATGATCAAGAAGTAAAATCAACGAAAAAAGACGAAGAAATAGAAATAAATAAAGAAGAAATACAAAATTCGCCGGGAGTTCAAGGCATCTTAGGATTAGATTCGCCACTTCCTGTTTTTGATATTTCCGAATTTGTGCCAAAAACCAAAGATTACAGTCCAAAAACGCCAATTGATACATCAAAATACACCAACATACGAAGAAATCCCAACACGAAGAAAATACAAGATGAAGAAATTGAAGTTTTAACAACAACCCCTCAAATCCAAACGATTGAAATCCCAACAACTTCATCAAAACCAACCACTCCGATTATAATTGTGTCAAGAAAGAGAGTTAATTCATCTCCGAGGACTTTAAAACCGAGTTTAAATCAAAGGAGACAAAGAGGAAGGAGTAGATTTCGCTCAACAACGGAAAAAAATAAAAATGTTGATGAAAATATAAGAAATCGAAGAAATTTGCATCGAAGAAATTATGAAATTCCGAGGAATCATCGTAGGGATTATTCGATTAAATCGAGGAATGATATTGAAGCTTTTAATCCGACTCCGAGGAGTATCACGTTAAATGTAATCAATCAAACTGATTTTTTAAAATTAAATCAACCGAAAATAAATCGTGAAAATGTCGAAATTAAAGATTCCGATACGAATAAAAAGAATGGGGGGAATTATAAGTATAAAAAGGTACAAATTAAAATAACGAGGAATTATAAACCCGAAGAAAATGAAGAATCAAATAATAATGATGAAGATGTTAAAAAATCGGGTAAAATAATCCCCAAAGATTTTTTTGAAGATCCTAAATTGGCGGAGAGAATCAATACTTTAAAAGAGAAGAATAATTTTGAGATAACCGAAACGTTTTTTCAAGAAGAAAATGTTCCCGATGATGATGATGATGATGAAGAAAAGTATGAAAGGACTACCGAAAAAATTTTAACGACGACGAAGAGGGTACCAAAAATTATTAAAGATCCTAGTAAAAGATTGTATTTTTATGCACCTATTTAGATACTTTTAAGATTTTTTTTATAAAAAAATGTAATTAATAATGTAAATAAATTCTAAAAAAAATTTGATTCAATTTTTTCTGATTATGAGATAAAAATAGAACTGGTTTATAATAAAAAGTTATTTTAATACGAAGAAAGCATTCGTTTTTAACGCACCTAAATGTGTTAGTGGGTCACGTTGATGAATCTCTTCGTTATTATGCAAATAATTTAAGAAAAAAAAAGCAGCAAGATTTTTTATTTCTTTCTCAACCATAAGGTGGCCTTAAAACAGCTGTTGTATAATTAATTTCTCTTCCGGAAAGAAAGATTATGCCTTCATTCCATTGCAAAAATGAATCAAATAAGTAAGAACAAGAAACTTAATAAGTTTTTTAATCATTGGTGATTCAGTTAAAACTTGTCGGTTGATTGCAGATCATGTTGGGATTTATTTGAGAAAGAGTACTCATTTTTCGCATAGTCTAAGTGTCAAAAAAGATGCTAATTCAAAAATTCCTGGAAACCGTGTTTACTGAAATTAAGAAATAAAACTTATTTTAAATTGAAGCTTAAAGTTTTCACTTTAAAGTGATGTATAATAATTGTTGGGTTGGATTGGAAAAATATAGAGAAAAAAAATTTTGAAACAAAACTTACATTTTCGAATAACCTAAAAATGTTAAAAATATGCTAATTTAAAAATTCCTGGAAGCCGTATTTATTGAAATTAAGGAATGAAACTTATTTTAAATTAAAGCTCAAAGCTTTCTCTTTAAAATGATGTATAATAATTGTTGGGTTGGATTGGAAAAATATTGAGAAAAAAAATGTTGAAACAAAACTTACATTTTCGTATAACCTAAAAGTGTCAAAAAAGATGCTAATTTAAAAATTCCTGGAAGCCGTATTTATTGAAATTAAGGAATGAGACTTATTCTAAATTAAAGCTCAAAGCTTTCTCTTTAAAATGATGTATAATAATTGTTGGGTTGGATTGGAAAAATATTGAGAAAAAAAATGTTGAAACAAAACTTACATTTTCGTATAACCTAAAAGTGTCAAAAAAGATGCTAATTTAAAAATTCCTGGAAGCCGTATTTATTGAAATTAAGGAATGAGACTTATTCTAAATTAAAGCTCAAAGCTTTCTCTTTAAAATGATGTATAATAATTGTTGGGTTGGATTGGAAAAATATTGAGAAAAAAAATGTTGAAACAAAACTTACATTTTCGTATAACCTAAAAGTGTCAAAAAAGATGCTAATTTAAAAATTCCTGGAAGCCGTATTTATTGAAATTAAGGAATGAAACTTATTTTAAATTAAAGCTCAAAGCTTTCTCTTTAAAGTGATGTATAATAATTGTTGGGTTGGATTGGAAAAATATAGAGAAAAAAAATTTTGAAACAAAACTTACATTTTCGAATAACCTAAAAGTGTCAAAAAAGATGCTAATTCAAAAATTCCTGGAAACCGTGTTTATTGGAATTAAGAAATAAAACTTATTTTAAATTGAAGCTTAAAGCTTTCTCTTTAAAATGATGTATAACAATTGTTGGGTTGGATTGGAAAAATATAGAGAAAAAAAATTTTGAAACAAAACTTACTTTTTCGTATAACCTAAAAGTGTCAAAAAAGATGCTAATTTAAAAATTCCTGGAAGCCGTATTTATTGAAATTAAGGAATGAAACTTATTTTAAATTAAAGCTCAAAGCTTTCTCTTTAAAATGATGTATAATAATAGTTGGGTTGGATTGGAAAAATATAGAGAAAAAAATTTTTGAAGCAAAACTTACATTTTCGAATAACCCAAAAGTGTCAAAAAAGATGATAATTTAAAAATTCCTGGAAGCCGTATTTATTGAAATTAAGGAATGAAACTTATTTTAAATTAAACCTCAAAGCTTGGTTTTACTACACTTATGTTCACGACATACCAACTGTTCACACTACGAAGATTCCGAAGAACTGCCAGTGGTATTAACTAACAACCAGGCTGTAGAATGGTCAAGAGAGGCTGTTAAATATCTTGGAGCATATCTCGATACCAGACTTAACTGGAGCTTTCACATCAACCAAAAATTTAATAAGTGCATTAACATATGCCAGTTGTGTATGGTCTAACAGTTCTAAAACTAATCTGCGTAAACTAGTGGTATTTCAAAATAAAATCCTAAGAATAGCAACAAATGCACCATGGTATATTAGAAACGACCAACTTCACATAAGGAACTAAACATGCCAAAAATAACAGATTTTATCAAAAGACTTAATTAAAAGTTCATTAAAGATTTAAAAAACTGTAAAGGAGCAACGCATTATTATCTAGGACAAAGGACATCTATTGTTGTTTTCTAACCCACTACGGATTGGTTGCCCGCACTCTACGTCACACTATTTGCCACGCCCAGTTAACTGACATTGAGTTTTATGCGTTTGCCGCGTGTTTTTAGAGGTTATATGGTAGACATTAATACGTCTAAGAGAAATAAAACTTCAAAAATAATAATAATACGTCTACGATATAACCTCTAAAAATACACAGTAAATGCACAGAACAAAATAACAGCTAACTGGGCGTGGCAAATTGTGTGACGTAGTGAGCGGGCACGTTGTCACAACAATGGTTGTAGCAGTGCTGTTAGATTCTACTGTCCTTGATGTATAACACATAAAAATGTTGAGCCAATAAAAACTGATAAATAACAAAAAAAGCTTGGTCGAAGAATTAGTCGTTTTACCACTTTGTACACATTTTTGGGGAATGTTTAAAACTTTTTCATATTTTTACTTAATTGTAGTTCAGACTATAGCTCTAAACCTAAGTTTTAATAATTTTTTTCCGTGATTTCCGTGATTCACCCTGTAGTTCCATCTGCTAAAATGATTACATTTTTTTTTGCTACAAGTCTCTTTTCTGTTTCGTTCTTCTCTCTTTAGTACCTTCTTTATATTTACGGCCTATTTCTAAGCTCCTTTTTGTCTTCTCAGTCTCTGTTCACTTTCTGTCCAGTCTCCTTCCTATGGTTCCAGCCTCTATTCAGTCTGTTTCTTTTGTTAGCAGTTCCTATATCTTATTTTCAGTCTCTCTCAGTCTTTCTATTCTATTACTAATTCCCTTCCAATCTTTCTTTTCTATGTTTAGCTCTTCCCAGTCTAGTTCCTTTTTACCTAGTCTTCTTCTTGGTTCTCCAGTCTCTGTGGAGCCTCCTTCTTCTTTTCTTTTCTTTTTGTAGCTTCGTTCCAATAACCCTCCGCTCTAACCAGTCTCTGTTCGATGTGTTTCTCTTGCTAACAGTGCCCATCTCGTATTTTCAGTCTCTGTCAATCTTGTTCTTCTATTACTAATTTCTTTTCAATCTTTTTTTTATGTCTAGTGGCAATTTCGATTTTACAATCTTTTCCCAGTCTCTTTCTTGCTTTTTCAGTCTCCGTACAGCCTCTTTCTTCTTTTACTAGCCTTGCTCCAGTATCCCTTTTATCTTCTTCCTATCTTGCTAGTCTCTGTTCAGACTCCTTCTCCTTTTCCTACTCTCGTTCCAGTCCATTGGTCAGGGAGGAAGGACTTTCTGACTAATCTCCTTCCTTGAAAAAGGACACAGCTTGATTCACGATGATTATTTATTGGTTTAATTCGGTACTATTAATCAACGTGGGTTTACCATTCTATCAATCATCGTGGATCAACCTGTATCCTTTTTCAATTAACTTTCACCATGATAAAGCTGGAGACCATAACTGCCAAAGTCTGCTTCTTGTCTTTCCAGACTCTGCTCAGTCTTTCTCTTCTATTCTTAGTTTGTTTAGTTTATTCCAAGAATAAGAAACCTCTTTAATATTTTTCTTGCCTTTATACCCTTTTTCCAATCTTCTACCTATTTGCCCAGCCCTGTTCTTGTTTTTCCAGTTCCTGTTAGATTTCTTTGCTATTATTAGTTTCTTTTCAGTCTTCCTCTTTTATGAGGAAGATTCTGAAAGACAAAATTTCCGCTCTCAACACCAATAATTAGACAATAATAAGAATAGAAGGAGTAACACGCAGAATACCCATACAAATAAGCATACGACAGGGAGGCAGTACAAACTGCGAGGTCTTCAACTTGATCATAGGCAAAATAATAACTGACGTGCTGAAAAATCGATATCAACAAGCCTATGGAACAAAGTCATGAGTTTTTAATATATTGGCGTTAATATTACGAGCTGCAGGAACTTCCAAGAAGAAGTTATAGCTCAAAACAACCAAAGGAATTTTGACATAATATGGCAAAACGAAAAGAATTCTCAGAACAGCGGAGATGAAGCAGCTAAGGTCATTAAAAGGACATCCTCATCATGAAAGGACATTGTGAGGTTGGCCTACAAAAGAAGACAGAAATGAGAGGCCATGTTGAATGTATGGAAGCTTCAAGACTACCAAAGATGGACTCCCAAGTGCAAATACATCCCCTAGAAGACCTCCTATACCATGTTATGAAAGCTGGAGCTGAACTTCCCAGCTGTTTTAAAGTAAGAAGCTGTCTCTTCTTAGTTTAAAGACAAGTTATGGGTATTCGAAACTTTTGTTCTACTCTATATAACTAATTTTTATGAAACTTTGAATCAAAACAAAGAGGTTTTTAAATGTGTCTATAAATAAATCTAAATTCTTCTTTAAAAGTAAAAACGAATCCCAATACATAAAAGCAAATAAAAAAAAATGAAAATAAATGAAAAAGTATTTCCCGGAGGATATAGCAAACCCAAATAAATAATTCAAAAATTCGTTTTCATCGAAATGCTGATCGAAAACATTTATTTTCCATTATTAACCTCGAATCCCATTGTTCATTCGAGTTCATCCGAGCCGATGTTATTACCCAGGGATGAATAATTTTAATCACCTTTCAAATTTTCCTCTTTTATTAGATAATTACGTATCATTTTCGCACTAAATCGTGTTGTATGAAGCGATTTTTTCTCATAATAATTTAATTTATATTACTTTTATTAGATTAATTAATAATAAAAAAGATAAAATCAAAAAAAAATTATGTTAAAAAGAAACCGACGAGGATGGGATTCGAACCCACGCGGGCAGAGCCCATTGGATTAGCAGTCCAACGCCTTAACCACTCGGCCACCTCGTCTTCTCTTTAAACTTTGAAATTAAGCAACTCCAATTTAGTTTCGTTTAAAATTTTAAATAAAACAACCAATAATATAAAATTATTAAAAAAAAAGTTATCCTTATTATATAACTTTTTTCTTTATCACAAAATTTAGTAAGACAACAAGAAATTTTATTTTTCCTCAAAAAATTTCACTTACCTTTTTTAATAAACTTGAAACGACACGAACGATTTATCTTGTCCTCGTTATACGCAACCCAACCGGAAACGTGACGACACACCGGAGCTTTAGGGGTAGAATGAGCTTTCCCCGCTTTCCCGGAGCAACGAAAACCACCACCGAAGATTTCGCCCACGCTTTTCATAACGTCGAACGGCCACGACATCGTCCGAACGTTAACGATCACCTCCAGGGGTTGCGGAATGCTAGGTTAGGTTTTCCTGGGTTGATTGGAATTGAAAAAAAAAATAAAGTGAACCTTTTAGAAAAACAAAGCGCTTTGTAGCACGATTTTACCACTTTTCCATCGGAAATTGCCAATTACTTGGAAAAGGGAATCAAAAATAAATTTAAAAAACACATTTTGTTGTGATTGTTGGGGTTTGAAGTGGCGCCATCTATTTTCTTTTTGTTAAATCGTTTTAAATTAAAGTGAGGTTAATAAAAAGTTATAATCAAAGGGATTTTATATTAATAAACAATTAATAAAGTGAATATTAAATAAATAAGGATTAAAAAACAATCCTTTGTTAATACGAAAAGAAATAACGCTAAATTCATCATAATTATGATGATGCAACATCGTATTTATCGTTATTCTTGATACACATGATTGTTAATTAAGTTAATAACTAAATAAACGTTATATTTACCATAAAATCGTTCACTTCTGATGATTTAGACTGCTTTAAAAATTTTTTATAATAAAAGAAACCAAAAGGACGCCTTACTCGTTTTTAGGACGCTATAAAAAACAAAAGCGAAACGAAACAGTGCAAGCAACTTCGAAATGTGAAAAAATGGATTTAAAAAAATGATTTTCTTTTAATTAACATTTATTATAGAATATTTGGGGCTTATATACACTTCACAAAAAATACATTCTTAAGACTAGTGTATAAACAGTACAAAAAAACTGATAATTTACAAAAAAATTATAATTATTATTAAAAAAAAAATGAGCGAGTATAATGTATTAACAGTTTAAATCATATTTACATAAAAGATTTATTTAAAAAAACACGTTTTTGTTGAATTATTGAGTCATTATTTAATTAATTTGATAATTCGTAATAAATAAATTTGGGGAAATTTATTTTTTTGATGTTTTTAGTTATCTGTCAAATCGAATTAACCTAACTTTTTTTTTAATCATTTTAAATATAAAATAAAACTACAATCTAAATTGTTTATAAATATTATATAATGTATTTGGCACCAGTTCATTTTTATTATCCATTTAACCTTAACATAATTATTCTTATAATCTATTAATGAATCGATTACAAGTAAGTAGTAGAACTTTTTTGGCACAAATTATTTTCATATGTACAAATACAAATTGAAAATAAGTCTTTGGTTGTATTGTCACACGTTGTTCTATATATTTTGATGCGTTACATTAAAAAAGCTAACACCTAATATCACAGAAAGAGCTATTTTTAAACACTACTTTGTTGGATAAATTTTTCTTTTTTCTATTGATAATAACAAAATAAAATAAAACGGTAATCTCGCTTCATCAAATGGCACCGTCAGTCTAAAAGAACATAGACTAGATCTTACTTAAATAATCTCAAATCTTCAAATTAAGAACCAAAATAAGATAAAAATTAAAATAATACTTCCATTTAAATCATTTTTAATCCCGAAATTATTTTGAGTATGAACAGGAGTAGCTAAAACCAAAGAACTCAAACTTAACTCACTGACCAACCTCGGACTGCGAGTATTAACCAAATTAACCAATTTTTCGGCTTCTCTAACACAAGTTTCCATTTGTAACTCACTCGGTTTTAAAACTGTAGTTTCAATAATTACAAAAATATCCATTTCCACCGTTAAATAACCCCTTAAAGCACACTGCGCTACCTGAACTTGCCTCTCCAAAGCTTGCAACAAAGCTTTAAGAGTTAAGGGATAAATATCATTTTCACCTTGCAAACCATAAAGAGCCCTATCGATTTGTTTTCGAGAATAAAGCAACCTAATAGCCCCACCACAAATTGGACAACAAGCACCTGGAGGTGTAAATCCCAAACAATTAGGATCTGAGAGTTGTTTACATTCAATATCAGGATGAGTACATTGTTTTTGTTTTTTATCCGTTATTGTCCCAACAGCTAAACAAGGCCCTGGATAATCCACGGAAGCAAAATCGGCGTGAGCTGCGCATTCGGAGATGTAAGTGCGACCGTTTATCGCGCAAACCGTGCCTTTGTAATTACAATTTTGCAAACACGGTCCGTTGTATGCAAATTTTTTGTTGGAATGGGCCAAATGGCAGATGTTATCATGTTGCTGGTTGTTGATATCGCAAACTGGGTCGAAACGAAGTTTTTCACATCTTGTGGTTCCATTTACTGAATTTAAAAAAAAAAAAGTGTATTAATTTTTAATCAAATTTATAATCGCGATTAAAAATGATTCAAAATGAGCCCAAACTCGATGAGGTTATCTTTAAAAATGAGCGAGGTAATAATATTAATCATTATTATTAACCTCACTTTTTATTACTAACTTCCGGCTTTTTATTTTTTGGAATAAATAAGTCGTGTTTGGACTCATTTTAAATGATTTTTTATTTCCTACATGATAAAATGATTTTAATCTCGATTATAATCATTTAAAATAAGTTCCAACCCAATACGATTATGTTTAAAAATAATAATTAACTTAACTTCCGGTTATCAACTTCCGCTTTTTAATTTTATGCTAATAAATTCATAATCGCGATTAAAAATGATTTAAAATGAGCCCAAACTCGATGTGGTTATCTTTAAAAATGAGCGAGGTAATAATATTAATTATTATTATTAACCTCACTTTTTATTATTAACTTCCGGTTGTAACTTTTTTATTTTTTGGAATAAATAAGTCGTGTTTGGACTCAATTTAAAGGATTTTTTATTTCCTACATGATAAAATGGGCCATTTTAATACAACTCTTGCTTATTAAATAACTTCCGGTGTTATTTAACCCTTTATGCAATAAAATTCGATTCAAAATTTTTAAATATCGATTTTAACCTCGATTGTAATCGTTTAAAATAAGCTCCAACCCAATACGATTATGTTTAAAAATAATAATTAACTTAACTTCCGGTTATCAACTTCCGCTTTTTAATTTTATGGTAATAAATTCATAATCGCGATTAAAAATGATTTAAAATGAGCCCAAACTCGATGTGGTTATCTTTAAAAATGAGCGAGGTAATAATATCAATTATTATTATTAACCTCACTTTTTATTATTAACTTCCGGTTGTAACTTTTTTATTTTTTGGAATAAATAAGTCGTGTTTGGACTCATTTTAAATGATTTTTTATTTCCTACATGATAAAATGGGCCATTTTAATACAACTCTTGCTTATTAAATAACTTCCGGTGTTATTTAACCCTTTATGCAATAAAATTCGATTCAAAATTTTTAAATATCGATTTTAATCTCGATTGTAATCGTTTAAAATAAGCTCCAACCCATATGATTATGCTTAAAAGTAATAATTAACTTAACTTCCGGTTATCAACTTCCGTTTTTTAATTTTATGCTAATAAATTTATAATGGCGATTAAAAAAGATTCAAAATGAGCCCAAACTCGATGTGGTTATCTTTAAAAATGAGCGAGGTAATAATATTAATTATTATTATTAACCTCACTTTTTATTACTAACTTCCGGTTGTAACTTTTTTATTTTTTGGAATAAATACGTCGTGTTTGGACTCATTTTAAAGGATTTTTTATTTCCGACGTGATAAAATGGGCTATTTTAATACAACTCTTGCTTATTAAATAACTTCCGGTGTTTCTTAACCCTTTATGCCATAAAATTCGATTAAAAATTTTTAAATATCGATTTTAATCCCGATTATAATCGTTTAAAATAAGCTCCAACCCAATACGATTATGTTTAAAAATAATAATTAACTTAACTTCCGGTTATCAACTTCCGCTTTTTAATTTTATGGTAATAAATTCATAATCGCGATTAAAAATGATTTAAAATGAGCCCAAACTCGATGTGGTTATCTTTAAAAATGAGCGAGGTAATAATATTAATTATTATTATTAACCTCACTTTTTATTATTAACTTCCGGTTGTAACTTTTTTATTTTTTGACATAAATAAGTCGTGTTTGGACTCATTTTAAATGATTTTTTATTTTCTACATGATAAAATGGGCCATTTTAATACAACTCTTGCTTATTAAATAACTTCCGGTGTTATTTAACACTTTATGCAATAAAATTTGATTCAAAATTTTTAAATATTGATTTTAACCTCGATTGTAATCGTTTAAAATAAGCTCCAACCCAATACGATTATGTTTAAAAGTAATAATTAACTTAACTTCCGGTTATCAACTTCCGTTTTTTAATTTTAGCAAATAAATTCATAATCGCGATTAAAAAAGATTCAAAATGAGCCCAAACTCGATGTGGTTATCTTTAAAAATGAGCGTGGTAATAATATTAATTATTATTATTAACCTCACTTTTTATTACTAACTTCCGGTTGTAACTTTTTTACTTTTTGGAATAAATAAGTCGTGTTTGGACTCATTTTAAAGGACTTTTTATTTCCTACTTGATAAAATGGGCTATTTTAACACAACTCTCCATCATCAAACAACTTCCGGCGTTTTTTAACCCTTTGTGTAATAAAATTTGATTCGGTTGCAACTTTTTTATTTCTTAGAATAAATAAGTCGTGTTTGGACTCATTTTAAAGCATTTTTTATTCCTTATAATAAAATAAAACTTACTGCATTGATACTGCTTGCAGGGTTTCACCATCAATGTTAAACAAACTTTATTATCCGGGACGCATTTCTCTCCAGTTCGACACGGATTTCCTCTGCAAGGATCCGGACACGTCTCGTACTCAATATCGGAGTCTTTAAGCTCGGCGCACCTTCGCACAAAAATTAAAATAAATTAGATTGAATTAAAATTGTGTTAACAAAAAATTTACTTTGCTAAACACGCTGATGGATAAATATTCCCGTTGCTCCCACAAACTGGGACATAATGTAAAGGACAATTACATGGTAACGTTGTATAAGCGGTATTTCTTCCTGTTAACATCGTCGTTTCGCATTGTTTTTTCGAGCAAATAACTTCCGTTACGTAACAACTACAAGTGTTACATTCGATTGCAAAGTTTGAACCATGCGGTTTCTCTTGGATTTGCCCCATCCAGCATGGACTCAACGCAACGCAAGGTAACGGGAAACATTCTTGAATCCCGTTCGCGGTGCATTTGCAAATTTTTAAGCACCCCTTTGGGTTAGTTGGAAACGGGAGTCTTACATAAGTGCCTTCCGGCACCATGTACTCGGAAACTTCGCCCAATTTACACCCGGGAGAGCAAACGTACGGCAAATTTTTTCTTGGAATGTAATTTTTATTGATGGAACAAATTTCGTTTGGTCCACACGGCCCATTTTTGCACGGCGATGAAATTTGACCTTCTAAATAATTGTTTTCTGACGGATAAAAATAATTCTCCAAGGAAATGCATGACACATTCGGATCTTCTGGTGATAAAGTGCTACAAACGGTTTCTGCGGAAAATTCGGTTGAAACTTGTTCCCAATCGACGCATTGCGAAAGAATTTCCAAGCAAGATTCCCGACAAATTTGATTTCCATGCGATAATCGCGTGCAAGGTCGTATTTGTAAGGCGCAAGCGACCGCTTTCCACGTTTTTGGGGAACATTTGCTAATATTTTTTAATGGAAGTGTTAATCCGGGGACTCCCGGGAGGGTTATTTCTTTTTGAGCTTGCCAATGGAGGACGTCGTATCGAGCTGATTCATCCGCCATTGAGGTGCAAGAACGAAATAGCTCTGTGGGGCGATTATTGAAATTTGTGCAAAAACTTAAACCATCGCAGCCTAATTCGCAAGGTTCATCAACTACCAAAAAAATTGTTAATAAAAAGTTGAGTAAATAATAAAGGTTGGTTTTACCTTCATCGATACAAGTTCTTAAATTTTCTTCGGATAATTGCCTTAAACACTTAACTTGGAAGTCGTTCCAAAGCACCATCCAATCTTTGGTGAAAGTCTTCGAACACAATACTTTGCATTGATTGCTAACCGCCTTTTGGCAACAATGCCATTTAGCCGAATCGATTCCAACTCTTTCAATCGTCGAAACCCCAACGGATTTCGGTGAAATATTGTGATCGCTTAAAAAGCACCCCCAAAAAGAATCCGAGAACGACGGCTGCCCACATCCTTCCTTCTCCAAAACCGTTATAACATCTTGAACATTCCCCGACTTCAACGATAAAGTTTTTTTGCAAATATCTCTGCATTTTATTTTATTCGTCGATTCACAACACTTTATATCTTAAAAAAGAATATATAAACAAATTAGAAAATAATGTTAATTTTAAAAAGNCGTTACTTCACTATGTGCCAATGGTAACACTTGGAAATTGGAGCATGTTATAAAAAAACTTTTGGGACGAAAGTTGTAGCTAATCTTATTCTTAACAATATTGCTCTCTTGTATATTTGCACTCAGATTCGTCAATATTGAGAAAAATACGAAAATTTGATGTATTTATTGTTTTACTTGCTCTTAATGGTAACATTTGAGAATCAGAGCATGTTATCCAAAAACTTTTATAACAAAAGTTGTAGCTAATTTTATTCTTAACAATATTGCTCTCTTATATATTTGCTCTCAGATTCGACAATATTGAGAAAAATACGAAAATTTGATGAATATCCTTGTTTTATTATTAGCTAATGGTAACATTCGGGAATCGAAGCATGTTACAAAAATACTTTCAGAACAATAGTTGTAGCAAAATTTATTCTTATCAATATTGTTCTCTTTCACTTTTGCTCTCAGATGTGTCAATATCGAGAAAACGCAAAAATGCGAAAATTTAATGATCTTGTTGTTTTACTTGCTCTTAATAGTAACATTTGAGAATCGGAGCATGTTATCAAAAAACATTTATAACAAAAATTGTAGCAAATTTTATTCTTAACAATATTGCTTTCTTGTATATTTGCTCTCAGATTCGTCAATATCGAAAAAAATACGAAAATATGATGAATATCCTTGTTTTATTATTAGCTAATGGTAACATTCGGGAATCGAAGCATGTTACAAAAATACTTTTAGAACAATAGTTGTAGCAAAATTTATTCTTATCAATATTGTTCTGTTTCACTTTTGCTCTCAGATGTGCCAATATCGAGAAAACACAAAAATGCGAAAATTTAATGATCTTGTTGTTTTACTTGCTCTTAATGGTAATATTTAAGAATCGGAGCATGTTATCAAAAAACTTTTATAACAAAAATTGTAGCAAATTTTATTCTTAACAATATTGCTCTCTTGTATATTTGCTCTCAGATACGTCAATATCGAAAAAAATACGAAAATATGAAAATTTGATGAATTTCGTTACTTCACTATGTGCCAATGGTAACACTTGGAAATTGGAGCATGTTATAAAAAAACTTTTGGGACGAAAGTTGTAGCTAATGTTATTCTTAACAATATTGCTCTCTTGCATATTTGCTCTCAGATTCGTCAATATTGAGAAAAATACGAAAATTTGATGTATTTGTTGTTTTATTTGCTCTTAATGATAACATTTGAGAATCAGAGCATGTTATCCAAAAACTTTTATAACAAAAGGTGTAGCTAATTTTATTCTTAACAATATTGCTCTCTTATATATTTGCTCTCAGATTCGTCAATATTGAGAAAAATACGAAAATTTGATGAATATCCTTGTTTTATTATTAGCTAATGGTAACATTCGGGAATAGAAGCATGTTATAAAAATACTTTCAGAACAATAGTTGTAGCAAAATTTATTCTTATCAATATTGTTCTCTTTCACTTTTGCTCTCAGATGTGCCAATATTGAGAAAACACAAAAATGCGAAAATTTAATGATCTTGTTGTTTTACTTGCTCTTAATGGTAACATTTGAGAATCGGAGCATGTTATCATAAAACTTCTATAACAAAAGTTATAGCAAATTTTATTCTTAACAATATTGCTCTCTTGCACTTTTTCTCTTAGATACGTCAATATCGAAAAAAATACAAAAATATGAAAATTTGATGAATTTCGTTACTTCACTATGTGCCAATGGTAACACTTGGAAATTGGAGCATGTTATAAAAAAACTTTTGGAACGAAAGTTGTAGCTAATGTTATTCTTAACAATATTGCTCTCTTGTATATTTGCTCTCAGATTCGTCAATATTGAGAAAAATACGAAAATTTTATGTATTTGTTGTTTTACTTGCTCTTAATGGTAACATTTGGGAATCAGAGCATGTTATCCAAAAACTTTTATAACAAAAGTTGTAGCTAATCTTATTCTTAACAATATTGCTCTCTTGTATATTTGCTCTCAGATACGTCAATATCGAGAAAAATACGAAAATTTGATGAATATCCTTGTTTTATTATTAGCTAATGGTAACATTCGGGAATCGAAGCATGTTACAAAAATACTTTAAGAAAAATAGTTGTAGCAAAATTTGTTCTTATCAATATTGTTCTCTTTCACTTTTGCTCTCAGATGTGTCAATATCGAGAAAACGCAAAAATGCGAAAATTTAATGATCTTGTTGTTTTACTTGCTCTTAATAGTAACATTTGAGAATCGGAGCATGTTATCAAAAAACATTTATAACAAAAATTGTAGCAAATTTTATTCTTAACAATATTGCTTTCTTGTATATTTGCTCTCAGATTCGTCAATATCGAAAAAAATACGAAAATATGAAAATTTGATGAATTTCGTTACTTCACTATGTGCCAATGGTAACACTTGGAAATTGGAGCATGTTATAAAAAAACTTTTGGAACGAAAGTTGTAGCTAATGTTATTCTTAACAATATTGCTCTCTTGTATATTTGCTCTCAGATTCGTCAATATTGAGAAAAATACGAAAATTTTATGTATTTGTTGTTTTACTTGCTCTTAATGGTAACATTTGGGAATCAGAGCATGTTATCCAAAAACTTTTATAACAAAAGTTGTAGCTAATCTTATTCTTAACAATATTGCTCTCTTGTATATTTGCTCTCAGATTCGTCAATATTGAGAAAAATACGAAAATTTGAAAATTTGATGTATTTGTTGTTTTACTTGCTCTTAATGGTAACATTTGAGAATCAGAGCATGTTATCCAAAAACTTTTATAACAAAAGTTGTAGCTAATCTTATTCTTAACAATATTGTTCTCTTGTATATTTGCTCTCAGATTCGTCAATATTGAGAAAAATACGAAAATTTAAAAATTTGATGTATTTGTTGTTTTACTTGCTCTTAATGGTAACATTTGAGAATCAGAGCCTGTTATCCAAAAACTTTTATAGCAAAAGTTGTAGCTAATCTTATTCTTAACAATATTGTTCTCTTGTATATTAGCTCTCAGATTCGTCAATATTGAGAAAAATACGAAAATTTGATGAATATCCTTGTTTTATTATTAGCTAATGGTAACATTCGGGAATCGAAGCATGTTACAAAAATACTTTTAGAACAATAGTTGTAGCAAAATTTATTCTTATCAATATTGTTCTCTTTCACTTTTGCTCTCAGATGTGTCAATATCGAGAAAACGCAAAAATGCGAAAATTTTATGATCTTGTTGTTTTACTTGCTCTTAATGGTAACATTTGTGAATTAGAGCATGTTATCAAAAAACTTTTATAACAAAAATTGTAGCAAATTTTATTCTTAACAATATTGCTTTCTTGTATATTTGCTCTCAGATACGTCAATATTGAGAAAAATACGAAAATTTGATGTATTTGTTGTTTTACTTGCTCTTAATGGTAACATTTGAGTAACGGAGCATGTTATCAAAAAACTTTTATAACAAAAGTTGTAGCAAATTTTATTCTTAACAATATTGCTCTCTTGTATATTTGCTCTCAGATACGTCAATATCGAGAAAAATACGAAAAATACAAATATGTCTAGCAATTGCAGCTACTCTCGATATATCCATCATTAACCAACATCATCCTTGATATCACAGAATATCGCACCTAAAGCCTATCTCAACATCGTTTATGAAATCTCTTTATACTGGCTATGACATGAACCCAAACCAACTCAACAGAATTCCTGACATTTCTCAATATTATTTTTGATATCACAGAATATAACATTTAATATCTTAATCTAATCTCTTAATATTCATCTGATCTCTCTCAAAATCTTCCCCATACTTAACCAACATCCTCCTTATTGTTGATAAACATATCATCCCTAATTTATTTCAACATCCTCGCTGTTATGTATCAACATCATACTTGATAGTTCTTAACAACATCCATTATGGACATCAAGGATATCTCAGAACGCTGTTCTGGCATCCCTCAACATGTTTTTCGTCATTCCACTATCATTGTTATTAAGGGGGCATAAAAATTAACAAGAGCGAGTCGAATAGAAGAGAGGAAGCTTCTTCAATTACAACTATTGCTGACAAGGATGTCTTAATGCCTAAATGATTATGGAACAAACCATAGCCTAGGTATATCTTTTCCAGCAAGTTTTGCAGGTTCCAGAGGCTATTCACACAATGATCAAAATTTGTCTCAACAGAGCACTGGTGTATCTCCTTCGATTTGGGATTTAGTAAGATTGGTGGAAGCAGTTTTGGCAAATTTTTGGAAAATGTTTTGACACAAAAATTTATTGACACCACAAAATGTATGTGCTGCTGAAGTAGATATTTCTATGAGCTGCTTTAAGTAATTTAGACTAAAAATAAGAAAAAAAAAAGTTTTACTTACCAACAAATGTTGCATTAAGACATTCCCAGAAAGAAGTCTGTAATGAAAAATACAAAAAAAAAATCAAAATTTATTATAAAACGAAAATTTAACACAAATAAAGAGTGTTTTTCAAAACAAAAATGGAAAAAATGTTTGGAAGGCGGTAGCAAACGGAATTTATGGACTAATTAAAATTTGAAAGATAGAATCGAAAGAAAAGAAGAAAAAGATGAACGAAAAAGGACGCGAAGGAGGAGGTGAAGAAGCATGACGAGGTGGTGAAGTGGCGAAAGAGACGAAGTGGCGCTGACGGCCGCCGGTTTTAACTCGCCGGAGGTTTCTTCTTATCGGGATCGCAAATCGGGGGCCCCCGGACCAAGAAATTTACTACTGCATCCTCTTGAGAGTTGTTGGCCAAACGGTCTTATAACGCAAACGAGTCGTCGTGTGCTCTACGACACGCCGCTGCGGTCGTTATTTCTTTATTTACAAGTTAACCTTTCCAAAAAATAAAATAAAAAAGAGAAATAAAATAAAAAATAAATAAAGGAATTCGCAAGAAAAGACAATAACGTGTTGGTTCTACGAAGAAAACGAAAGTTTTATTATTTTTGATATATTCCCGTTATCTTTTTAGTGTCACTTTTAAACTAGCCAGATAGTGATAAATGGGGTGGTTGAAAAGGCCATCTCTGCGATTTGTCATTCAACGCCCCAGAACGAAGAAAAGACGAGAACCCACTAGAAAACGTCTCCCTGTCGTAAATTTATTGCCATCCCGAGATGTTTTGCTCACCCAAACTTTTGCCAGCTTAAACTTTTAAATTTTAAACTTTTAATTGTTCCTATACAGACATGATATGATTACACGTTTACATATGAAACCACACAACAAAATTAAATTACAACAAAAAAAAAATGAATCGAGAAAAAAAGATGGGCGTGGGTTCTGTTGGGTCAGATGTTGGTTGTTGGCATGTTATGTTTGGCCTACGTAGTTCATTACGCTTGCAAATTAACCTCTCGAGCGTTATGCAAATAATTTATTGTCTTCATAAACCGTATAAACATATTTATACGTATCTGCCTCGCTTGCCCTATTAGTCCTGATAAATATTTAATGAGCCATAGAAAGCTATACACACATTGTAAATTTATTTAAAAGAAAAAGAACAAAAAAGTTAAATATTGTGAATCAAAAAGGATAAACAGACTCTAATTTAATCGTAAAACTCCGGATGTGATTATCTTTTATGTAAATGATAACGTTTCCTTCTTAATAATAAACGTTTTATTTTAATGTAAATTAATAATAATATAAAAAAACGTGTAATTTTTTGGGTAAACCTAAAAATGTGTTAATAAACGATTTTTTTAGGTTATCTTTAAAGATTAATTTCTTAAAAAGTAATCGAGATTTCAAAAAACTAATTTCACCACCAAATTTCTTAAAGAAAATTGTATAAGTGCACCAAATTTGGTTTTTTCAATTTAATACATAACCTAGAAAAAAAAATTTGAACCCAACCCCAAAAAATGTGTCAACACGAATGCATAATTTTTTAGGTTAACTTTGAAAAGTTATATTTCAAGAACTAATTGAGATATCAAAAAATGGATTTCACCATTAAAATTGTTGGAGAATTTTAAATAAATGATATTAATATGGTTATTTCGATTTTATATACAACTTAGAAAAAGTAATTTAAATTTAACGCTAAAAATGTGTTAATAAACGAATTTTATCTTAAAAAAGAAATAAATTAATGCATAAAAATTAATTAATTAATCAACTTACATTTATGTAAATTAGTAACCAAAGTAACCTTCGTTAAATCTTTAACGCAATCGAAATTTTTGGTGCTTTCGCAATGTTCCGCAACGGCCGTTCTTTGAGCTTTACTCGGAGAAGAATCGAAACTTTTAAAAATATCGAAACAAGCTTTGCGACAATTTTCATTGTCGGATTGGCCGCAACATTTCTCGCCCTCTTCTTGTCGCTCCAAACAATTAAAAAATGCGATTTCGTCGCTTCCTCGACACCCATAATTCAAATCTTCGATTTTAGTCGCTGTTATACACGATTTTTTGCACGATTCGCTTTGAGGAAGTGGACAGCAAGCTCTTCCCGGCCAAGATTCGCCTTTTGAAATGTCTAAAAATAAAATAATATTATTTATTCAAAGATCGTTTAAAAAAGATGAATTGAATAAAGTGCGGTGCCCTCTAACTGGACTGAGGCTATTGTTTCCTGCGAGTATTGTCTCAAAAAAAGAAGCCACCCGGTCTCTTGGTAGCTTAAGAAAACGCAATAAATAAAAAAAGGAAAAGGGGGGAAAAAATAAAAACTAGTTTTCGTATGGTAAACACGAGAATCGTGCTTCGGTATTCGTGACCAGATACAAATAGCAAACAGTTTTGTTCCAACCGGAATATTTTTCAAATTCAATACAAAAAGATGTAGAAATCTTATAGATATGGGATAAGATTAAAAAAAAAAAGCTTAAGAGTTGGGTTAAATCGAATAAATAAGTTAATAAGTCTCTTTGTGAGTTATTAAGACTGAAAATGTCAGTGGGTTATCTAAAAGTTATCGTAAAAGAAAGTCAAATGAGGATGTTTTAGATGTTGAAATTCATTGTGAGTTGAGGAGATATAAACAAATTAGAAAATAAAGATGATTTAATTGAATTAAAAATAGCTGAATTAATGTTGGTAACAATAATAAAGTGATTTACAGGTCTATAACACAAGCTAATTACGATATGAGGTGAATGAGCTATGATATAACCCTTAGTCAAACCTGTATAATTAATTAAATTGTATATCTGGACTCTCAAGGTTCTCAAGGTTGGAACAAAAATAAGTTAATCCACAATGTGCGTCTTCAGTTTGATGAATTTCCTTGTTTTATTATAATGGTAACATTCGGGAATCGAAGCATGTTATCAAAAAACTTTTATAACAAAAGTTGTAGCAAACTTTATTCTTAACAATATTGCTCTCTTGTATATTTACTCTCAGATACGTCAATATCGCAAAAAATACGAAAATATGAAAATTTGATGAATTTCGTTACATCACTATGTGCCAATGGTAACACTTGGAAATTGGAGCATGTTATAAAAAAACTTTTCGGACGAAAGTTGTAGCTAATCTTATTCTTAACAATATTGCTCTCTTGTATATTTGCTCTCAGATTCGTCAATATTGAGAAAAATACGAAAATTTAAAAATTTGATGTATTTGTTGTTTTACTTGCTCTTAATGGTAACATTTGAGAATCAAAGCATGTTATCCAAAAACTTTTATAACAAAAGTTGTAGCTAATCTTATTCTTAACAATATTGCTCTCTTGTATATTTGTTCTCAGATACGTCAATATCGAGATAGATACGAAAATATGAAAATTT